CTGAGTATGCATCACCACATGTGAATTTAAAACTACCCTGTGTGGCGCTCTGAGCATCCCCGACTTCAAAGTCAGCCAGCATGCGACGACGCAAAAAGCGCAGGTAGAGCTCTGCCCTTGCGTTCATCAGGGTTACTTCTGTCAGCACAGGGTCCAGCTCCCTGTTCATGGCAGACGGAGGTATAAACCAAAACCACCATAGACACAAACATAGAGTGGAGCGCAGGATGTTGCTGAGACAAACGCAAATACTTAGGCTCAATCCTCTCCCCTGGCACGCTCTTCATCATGCTGCTCTGGACAATCTGAAACTACAGTGGGGATACGAGTTCACAGTGCGTACAGGTATGCAGTAAAAACAACCATGCTATGCAGTTCATATGTCGTACATACCTTGTTGTGGTATCCTCTCTGCTGGATGAACTTGTCGACTATTTTCTGGGCCTGTCGGTCACACTCCTGCTGCAGGTGAGTGATGAGTGTGTACAGATGGCCTGGACCGTAATATGTCTCTACAATAGGCTGATGAGTCTCAACGACACGAGCAATACCTGTAAACACACACCAACACATCAGTGGAGTACTCTCCATGCAAACAAAGGAAAGTGACATAAACACAAACGGAGTATCAGGCCTGTTTTCTCACCTTCCAGCAGCAGCGTCAGAGTTTCTGCAAATACCAGTGGTGCTCTCTTGTCACCCAGGTCTCCTCCTGTAGCCAAGACCAGGTTCTCCTCAGCTTTGGAGGCAAGCTGTGTGAGACATAACATATCTGTCGCTAATTCTGACCAAAAAAGACAAAGCTTATCAGATCTATATTTGTGATCTCATATGATCAACCAATGAGTGTTTCTGACAATCATGCAACATCAGATTAACTCACGGGGCCTTCTCTTTTTCTTTAAGGAGACAGCCACATGTACTTACAGAGTCGGAACATTTTACTAATTTATGATGCTGAAAAATGCACAACATAAAGAATTCCTTTTTTTTATCTCTGGATCCACACCATGAAGCTACCAACTGTTCATTAGTCAATGGCTTATCTCTCCACCAAAAGTTAATTAAGTTTTTCAGAAATACTCAGATATAAATGTCAAGAAAGCACACAAGCAGGACCACAAACACAACCCACCTGACTGCAGAGATACTGGCCGAAGCGGGCGAGGCCCTGCTGGTGGAGGCCCAACAGAGGGAAGATCTTGAAAAAGCGTTCCACTTGTGCGAGGTCGATTGCTGCTACAGCCGCATCCAGCTTCTCAGCAACGATGACCTTCAGTTTCTGCTCTGCCTCCTGCAGCATTATCAAACTGGTATCCACAGCACTACCTGTGTAGACATGATGCATTGCCAGTGTTACAGTGAAAGCCATTTACATCAATTTGATCTGTTTTGCAGCTGATTTATATTGCTGCCTACAGCGCAGTGAAAAATGTGCAGTGCAAAAGCACAAAAAGTCTAATAAGATAACAGTACTTCTGCATAGTGAGCGATGCACTATGAGAGCGATCTAGATGCCACATACTTTCTTCTCCCTGCCTGCTGAGCTCAATAACTGACTGGTCCAGAGAAAGGTATCGATGGATGTGGGCAGCAGCCTGTTCATAATCTTCATTTCGTAGAGCTGTCTGCACACCGTCTGTGCAGAACTTCAGATCGAGGATATCGTCAGCACGCTGGATGACGTTATACAGCCGTGTCTACAAAAACAGAAACATATTCTTTACACTGTGAACATATTTCAGTTTCATTTTAAACACTGTACAGCTCTTTTCATTATAAAACAGACGTATTTTGTATATTTGTTAATGGAAATTTCTATTTTACGTAAGATTCTTGACTTGCAGTTTCTCTTTCTTTCCTCTTACTATGTTTCGTTTGACCGTTATGCACCAAAACACCAGGGCAAATTCCATGTACGTAAAAACCTACATGGCAAAAAACCTGATTCGGAAGAGATCAGTGTATGTGACTGTAATAAATACAACCTGTAAACGAGCTGAATCAAAAAACTCTCACACACTATCAGCAGCAGTTTCGCAGAGGTGTGTTTTCATCTACTATATGAGCCCCAAATAAACTCTCTTCTGTGAATAAAAAAAGTTATTAAAATTGCTTAACTGCGTTACATCCCTGAAAGTGCAGATAGATAGATATAATAAGTGTTTGTATTCACCTTTGCCAGATCTAGCTGTCTGACTTTGCTGCTGACGTTTTCAGCCAGGCTACAGGTAAATGTGATCATGCCCGACAGCTGACTGGCGTCTCCTCCGATCAACTGTAGGTTGGGCCTGTAGAGCATAGAAACAGAGCTCAAATTAATGATGGTCATCAGGTGCCTTGAAACCACACTAATCTGCACAAACTGTACCCCATCCTCTGCAGTGCCAGCATCTTTGTGTGAATGGTCCCCTCCTGCCCCACCAGTCTGTCCAGCTCAGCTTCCACTTCTTTCTGTATAACAGGAACAAAACAAAACACGTAATGAGCAACGAGATTATTGATTTTATTTAGATTTCAGCTTCTTATACACAATACACACATACTGTAACTATTTCACATTTTAATATGTCAGTTTTTCTTTGTCCAACTGCCTTCATGTTTTCTATCAAAACATAAATAAATAAGTAAAAGAAATGAAAGACATTTAGTAATTATCTATGCATGTAGATGTCTGATAAGTAGTGGGAAGGAGTGTCAATTATTAGAAAATGCGGAATGTATGTAGTTTAAGAAAGTGTAGGGTCAGTTGATTAACAATGTCTCATTATAGGACTCCACATCTTTGTAAATTGTGGCTTTCTAGGACTTAGTACATTATGTTATTGGCACCATCTAGTAAGATTTTCAGGATTTCTGAACAATCATTTATTGCTTACTTTAGTTGAAGTGCTTAATGGCACAAATGGATTAGAAAAACATCATATGGACACACCATTAATTTTCCTTTGCACAAATGAACAGTAAACTGTCATTTCCTTTGAAGCTTGTGATACCAAGAGTGTGATGATCTCCTCAGTTAGCTATACTTGCCAGTCATTGAGTCTCAAAACAGGTATTCACGTGATTAATGAACTATAAATAGAGTTCATCATTCATATCAGTCAGTGCAGATAAAGGACACACATTTCAAAGTGACATTTCTAGGTGTTTGTTCTGTCATTTGTTTCCTTACTAAAAGCAGCACAACATTTAACTATGAAAAAAGAGAGTTTAAATCTAAACCTGACATCCTTGGTGAGAGCATATTTCTTCAGGATGGTCATTTGTAATGATGCAATCAGATCTCACTCAGATTTAGTGGACGGGACAAACTATCTGACCCATTTACTACCAACCAGCAGTCACAAATGTAAACTTTGTAACGTTAGAGTCAAAATCCCGACAACCACAACCCTTTCTGTGGCAAATATTCAACATTTCATGGTATTTTGGTAAGATGTTGTTAAGTGATTTGTACCCTGGCAAATCATCTAGAAAACGTTAAACCGTTCCTCTATCCTAATCTGCAAGGACAAATCATTAACTTTATTAACGTTACGTTATGTTTGTTTTAACCATGATTAATCTTTCCCTCAGCAGTGTTATGGAGCAGCGACGTCCCCGGAAGTTTACGTGGATGACGACATTGCATTCACCTCAAATAAACTGCCGTTAACGGTCGTTTATACGAACCTCCTCCACGCAGAGCTGCTGGTAGACCCTCTCCAGGTCCTCCAGCTCCGTCAGGGCGGAGATGGTCTCCATACTCACGGAGGACACTGAGCCAGAGTCGCATCTCTTCGCCGCCACTGCTCCGCTGTCAGCCATCTTGCGCCACCGACACGAAGGACTCAGCAGCCCACGTCATCTATCAGCAAACACTCCCTGCGTTCAGCTTGTCAGGCAGCACCTTCGCAGGATGAGGAGAGCTACGGAGACGACACGCCGCCTGCTCGTCTTAAAATTTGGTGAAAGTAACCACAAAGGATGACCATAACATAATCTGTCAAAAAAAAAAATACATATACTCACACGTTACGATTATTTGGTGGTGGGGCAGCACACAAACACTACCTGAGAAGTCACATTTTGGGCAACAAATTTTCACGGGTTTTTTCAACACATGCGTTGCATGTTTGTGTATTTAGTAGGCAGGCACTAGGTAAAAGTGAACATGTTTTAAAGCGTTAACTCAAAATTACAATAAACAAACAAAAACCTTAATTCTACTGGTGGAAAGCCATTCACATACTTTCAATCCACGCACAAGCCATGAAGCCAACCAGTGCACTTGTGTTAAAATAATACCATAGCTTCCCGGGTTTGCTGTCACAGTTCATAAAATAATGTAGGGATCGTGCAAGGATCATATAAACTGAAACAATGAAATTTTTAAAACTAAATTTGACTTGACTTGTGCAAATTACCAAACAAAAGTTAAAATTTGTCACACTTTGATCCACTGTGCCCACTTCTCCTGCTTGCAATTTAATAAATTTACTGATCATTTCAAGCCCACGCAGCAACAAGTGTAAAAAAGTATTTTTACACTCTATAACTATATGGTAGTTTATTCTTATTTATTTATTACTATTTATCAGTTTTTGGTCACAGTATTCCAGTTTGATTACAAATTTCGAAGAACAAAAACTTATGATAATTCGTGCAACTAGCTTGATTATTTGCTGGTGACTTGATGAGAGAGAAGCAACACAGGCATTATTATAGCCAATCTCTGCATTCTACATCAATCTGAGAATTGATTTTTTGAGTGAAAGGAGGATGAGGTGCGGATGGAGAGGTTTGTCCTGGATCAAATTTCTATTTATCTGATGCCAGTGTGATGGCAGCTGACATCACAACAAGCTTGGGCAGAAGATGGAACATTGATAAGGCCACAGAGCAGCAACACAATTGTAACAGAAACAAAATCAATGGACCATTGATTCTTTGTAAAATATATTTTACTAAAAAGAGGAGTTTACATTTTTACATCATGTATTTGAATTAGTTCCAAAGCATTTATAAAAAACCTGAAATCAGTGAATAGCAACATGATGACAGTCCAGTTGTAACAGAATCAAGAGGCTTGCTGTCCGCTGGAAAACAAGAGAAGCTCTTGTCTTTCCTGCTGAAGCTCTTCCCGTTTCTTCTGTAGCTCTGCCTTTTCCTTCTTCAGCTCTTCTTTCTGTCTACTTAAGTCTTTGGCTTCCTCCAGCTGTGCTTTCCTCAGTGACTCGATTTGCTGCCTCTCTGCAGCTGCCTCCCTGGCATTCGCTGCCTGCAGCTTCTCCAGCAGCTCCCGCTGATGCTCCAGAGCGCGAGCCTCCTCCCTCTGAGCTCTCCTCAGAGCTTCTATCAGCTCCCGCTCTCTCCTTAACACACGCTTCTCTCCTTCAGACACCCTTGAAACTGTCAATGCACCTGTAAGAAGGGGGAATGAGAAGGCCACATGTTTGGTCTCCTTCCAACGTACAGTAGAACCACAAAATGTTTCTTTTTTTGAAACTTTATATTAGTTTACTTCAAACATGTGGCAGATTCATTTGCATTAGAGATTCTGGTTGCTGAGATACCTTAAAATTATGGAAAGAATCAAGTGACAACTACTTGAGTGGTTGAGTACACACCTACTTGAAAAATGTTTGAACTGGACGATGTTTTACCTTCATATTTGCTTTGTTTTCAGTTGGACTATAAAGACATTTAAATGGAGAAAAATATTTACATTTACTCATTTGGCAGACTCATTTATCCAAAGCAACTTACATTTAAGGAACAACATACAAATCATCAATACAGTAAGAGATCTACAAGTGACAACAGATACGAGTAAAAGCTATTAGCGCATACGGCATCAATACGGTAAATGCCTAGAGAGAGAGGTGAGAGTTAACAAATAGTGCAGCCAATACAAGAGAATTGTAAGGAGATAGAATAAAAAGAGCACAAGAAGTGCATTTTAAAGGTTAGAGGTGTTTTAAGAGAAAGTGTTCACGAAAGAGATGAGTATTCAAGAACTCTGATGGCGTGTAGTAGCTCATTCCACCATCATGGTGTCACAGATGAGAACATCTGGGACTGAGATTGCTTTGTGTGAAGGTATGGCAGAGCCAGGTGGTGTTCGTTGGAGGAGTGCAGTGGCCAAGAAGCAACGTAATACGCTTGTATTATGGAATACAAGCATATAGGTAGATGGGTGCAGACCCAGAAGTCACTCTGTATGCAAGCATGAGTGACTTGAATTTGATTCGCGAGGCCATGGGTAGCCAGTGGAGGTTGCTGAGTAATGGCGTGACATGAGTCCTTTTGGGTTGATTAAAAACCAGACTCACTGCTGCGTTCTGAACCATTTGTAGGGGTTTCACAGCACATGCTTGAAGACCATGAAAGCTGGAATATAACATTATTCCAATTGTTTGGTGAAACTCTAGCCATGGTGATCCAAACTTGGCTGATGTTTCTAACAAAATGTTAATTTGATAAAACCAGTGCTGGGTGACTAATGCGTCAAGTATTGAAAGCTGGCAAATCTCTAGTCAGATTCATATTGTCATGCACTTATTCTTTGATCAGATAGTCTGTAGTACTGTATTTTACTTAGGTTTGTGGTTAAAAAACATTTAACATTTTCCTTCTATTAAATAAAAAAGTTGATATATTTTACTTATTCAGCTTTTGAAAAAGTGAGCTACAAAACATTACCTGAAAACGGTCTCTTCTCTGTCGCCCCAACAGTCACCGGTAGTGGGTTCTGCCCGTCGGCCACTAGCTGAGAAAACATCTCCGGGTGTCTCTTTGACATGTGCCGATGCAGGTTGCTGGTGCTACCGCTTTGAAAGCACTGTAACTTCTTCATGCAAATGCGGCAACGAGCAGCATCCAAACTGTCCAGGCGCTCATAGTGCCTCCAAATCAAGCTCTGTTTATTTCGTCTGTGTCTCACAGGGCCGTCATCACTCGCCTCTTCATGTGTTATTTGTTCTGCTGGACCTGCAGCTTCAAGGATGCCGTTAATAGCAGAATTATTTTCAGCTTCATTCCCCATGGTAAAGATGTCAGAGTCTCTGTTGTCCAGTGCCACTTCCACTAAATAAGAGGAAAATAAAGTTGTAAATAATTAGAGTTGCAAATGACAATTCTTCTTTGATCAATATATTGATATTTCTTTATATATTTCACTCATTCAGCAAGACGCCTTTGAAAAAGTCAGAATTCATTACAACAGCAGTGAGCCATAAAATATTACCTGAAAACTGTCTCTTCTCTGTCGCGCCACGAGTCTCTGGTGGTGCCGATGTGTCACCATTAGCATTTGAGCCCTGTGTTGAACGGGATGGTGGTGCTTTCTTCCCGTCAGCCACTAGCTGAGAAAAGACCCGCGGGTGTCTCTTTGAGATGTGCCGACGCAGGTTGCTGGTGCTGCTGCCTTCAAAACACTTAAACTTCTTCATGCAAATGCGGCATCGAGCAGCATCCAAACTATCCAGGCGCTCATAGTGCCTCCAAACCAAGCTCCGTGTTCGTTTTGTGTCACAGGGCGGTCATCACTCGCCTCTTCATGTGTTATTTGTTCTGCTGGACCTGCAGCTTCCAGGATGCCGTTAATAGCAGAATTAATATCAGCTTCGTTCCCCGGGGTAAAGGAGTCTGAGTCTCCGTCCTCCAGTGCCACTTCCACTAAATAAGAGGAAAACAAAGTTAAAATTAGGGCTGCAGACAACAATGCATTATAGATTAATGTTTTTTTTTTTTTAAATTGATTGTTCAGTGTACATAATGTAATAAAATGGTAAAAAAAAATGCCCACCACAAGTTTGCTTGATAAATTACTTAATTAATTAATCTACAATCAAAATAGTTGGTGATTAATTTTCTGCTGATCAACTACATGATTTAACACCTAATTATTTCAGCACTATTATGATGTTTTACTGGATTCTTATTATTTCCGATGTAACAGAAAAAGACGACACTCGGACTAAAAGGCCGAGTGTGTCCTCCGTAGTAGAGCAATAATATTGTAATGTTATGTACTTTTAATAGACTGCCAGAGAAAAACAAACTGTGACACGTTTCATTCACATTTTTGATACAAATCATCACAAATCGTTTTATACACTGGCTGGGTTTACAAAGCTCAGTCAATAGGCCTTTTTCATGGAAGACATTTTGACATCGCGCACAGGAAAATCAAAGATGTAAATAACAAGCATGATTAAATGACAGGTGGATTGTTTAATTGCTGTTTTTATTAGTATGGCAAATCAAATGTCTGATGATAAAACAAGCTGTGTATTCCCAGAGGTCTGTAAAATAATTGGCTAGAAATGAAGTTTAATTTATGTTTTTTTTACACTTTCAATTTAAACTAACAGTAACCCCCCTTCACCTTTAAAACTAAGATTAAGGAAAGGCTGATGGAGAACATCGATATAAGGGACTTGTTTGTTTTGTATCATGCTCTTGGCTTATCCTACTTATTAAGTAGTAATTAAGTATGTATTAAAACTGTGTGAGGTTTCATGTCAATCAGTGGTTCCCAACCTTTTTGGTCTAAGGAACCCCCACAGCCCTGTCACTTGATTTTGATTGATTTTGATTTTCAAAATAGTTTGCGATTAATTTACTGTAATAGTTGACAACTAATCCGTTAGATTAATTGTTGATTAATTTTCAACCATTTATCCATTACATTTATGTGCTGGCTAACTAGTTTGCACACACTCTTACGTATTTGCAACAGGTACAGTGGTGTTCAGCTGTTACAGCTGCCTTAATATGTGGATATATTCTTTTTAAAATACCAACTAAATTATATTTTCTCAAATTAGTTGGTTGGGAGTCACTGATAGTCACATATCACTGAA